CACTTTCTGGCGACATATAGTCCTCCACTCCCTCTTGCGCCTTCGCCTTTTCCGCAATGACCTGTGGATGCATCATTCAGCAAGTTATCCCCTTTTAAGCTTTATAATCTTTCGAGATTGTTCAAATTGTTCAATTTACCCAATCTTCACAAATGCTAAGTGCACAGTCAGTTGTTTTTCTCATGAAAAAGTGAGAAAAACAACTGACTGTGCACGGGAAGTGAGAAAAAATAGGATATTTTGAAAAGATATCTGTCTGTTTGGTTACGGCTAGTCGTTAAAAAATTACTGAGCTCTCAATTTATCCTTATGAATGCGGTCGTCATGGTAAGAGTTTGATGCTTGTTATAAGAAAATCGATGTGCTACACTCACGTATAGTGGCAGTCATGCAATCTATTTGTAAGATTCAGTCATGATAGTCGAGAATAAGAGCGGTATGTGAGGGTATCCGAATATTTCAGACAAGATCCTTATTATCTGAAAGAGCACAAGATCCCTGGAGAATATGGGCAGATTCTTTTCTTCCCTTTCGAGCTTGATGATGAGCAGAGCATTAGGAAGGTACGTGTCTCTTTCTAGCATTATTTATTGCATCTTCCTCGTATATTATGTTGCTATATTCTTTTCTAGGTGGTGCGATATTCAAACATTGTCATCAACATGATTGGAACTAGAGTTCCTACTAAGTGAGTTATTGAAAATATTGTTGCGACTGTTGTCCTTTGCTTTTCTAAGAAACATGTAGAGAGAAAAGTGCATTTTGATCTTTACGCTGCTTCACATTCATTGTTTGTTACAAACTCGGAATAGCTGGCAAGGGCATGGCCAGAACAAAGTGGTTTCAGACAAGCTACATGCCATTCGATGCAGCATAAAAGCTTACTTCAGAACTGTCATCCGTATCTGCTGAACGTCTTTGCAGGCGAAATCATGCGCAGGTTTATTGAGAAAAAAAAACCGTGCATAAAGATTGCAAAATCGAGCATATTATTGCCTTTTAGCTCACCTTTAGGTACGAGCTATATGAAGTAATCTAGCTGCATGTTTTGACCGAGCATCAAGCCGACCATGGCTCTGTTCGGCATTTTACCCCTTACACGCGCGACTTAGCAAAATAATGGCCTTCAATGGCTTATAACTTCGCTCAGAGAAGGCGTTCAGCAGACAGGGAAGGCAGATATCTAAAGTCAGCGTTTTATGTTGCATTTATTGGTACACAGTTTGTTTGAATTGGCCTCTTCGATTTCTGACCATTCTCTTGTGAGAGAAGTGCGTGGACATTTTTACATTTAAAATGTTCTTGGATTGACTTTGCACAATGCATAGTTTCATGGAGCATGAGGATGAGCGATTA